GCAGCTAGCCATACCCTTATATATATATATATCATGTATTTGTTATTAGAGCAATTTTAAGAGCCCTTGCTAGGTTTTCTTTAATGAATTCTGTTTGTTTATTCTGTTTCTATTTCTTTCTTTGCCTTCCAGAGTTCCACTGCTTAAGATGGACAGCACTAGCCATTTATTAAACAAATGATTTTTCTCAAATTTCCCTTTCAGCCCATGGACCAGGCGTCTCTTAAGAACAGCGATGTTCTCATCCTGACTGGACTCACCCAGATTCCCACCGCCAATCCGGATGGAATGGTGGGCGAATTCTGCAGTAACCTTGGTAGGTGGCTAGGCAGTGGTTTTGCTGCTTTTCGTAATCTGGCTTGGGAAATATATGCAGTAGATGGAAAGTAACTCTAAGGCTCATTTAATCAATCCAGGCAACTGCTTCTTCTCTCCTTCTATGGCATAACATCAGCAGTTCAGATGGTGCCTTTGTCTCTCTCTCTCACACACAAATATAATTAGCGAGAAATGCAAATTGTACTTTTGGGTGTGGGGGGAGAACTATTTTGGAACAGATCTGGCATAATGAGATTAAGTTATTTGCTCCTGTTTACTCTCTGCTAAATAGTAGCAACATTGCTGCCAAATAAGTTCTGTTTTGATGGAGCTCTGAGGAGACTCTCCCAATTTTACGCCATCTTCTGTTTGGCTAACTTAGAACCCATTTGCATTCTTTGGAAGCATCATTTCCCTTTGCGATTTATCCCCTTTCCTATACTTGATCATTGAATACTCTGCAGGAGCAAAAGGGGACATGACCCAAAATTCAGAAATGTGTTGTGGCCCACCAGCAGCCAGTGGTGAGCAGAGCTAGCAGCAGATTCGGACAGTGAGGAGGTTGGGGAGGAACATGAGCCAGTCCTGGAGTCTGGGGAAGGCTCTGATGAGGGCTCTGTGTCAAAGGCAGAGAGGGAGGCAGAGCTGTATGCCAGTTATCAGCTGCCTTCAGAATCAGACATCAGTGAGGCAGACGAACAGCTGGAGCCTGTTCCCAGTGNAGACAGCAGTGAGGCAGACAAACAGCTGGAGCCTGTTCCCAGTGTGCGCATGTACAGAATTGCCAGATGAAGGGAACAACTAAAGAGCAGGGGTCAATTTGGGAATAAGGCCAAATGATGAATAGCCCCTCCCAGAGAAAACAAAAGAGGAGCAAATGGGGAGTGGAGTTTGCAGGAGACGATTAGTTCGCTAACTGGTTAGTGACTCTCCGAGACTCCTTGCCAAGTTCTGCAGGTATCGACCTGGCAGCTCTCCAAGCCAGATAAAGTGTGTGACCATAAATCCTCCTTCGAAAGACTTTACTGGCTGTGAATGAGCAGAATTCACAGTAAATTAATAAAAGAGTTTTTTTGCTGGGACAAGGAGTTTGTTTCATGCTCTTGGAAAGCCTCGATCAGAACAGTATCTTACATACAGTTTGTTCCTCAAAACTAAGACAAGGTAGAGGTATATTCAAGAAGATCCAAAAACATCTTAGCTCCTAAGATATACTCTTGAGTGAGAAGAATTGTAACTAAACATCACATCTGTATGACACATATTTCTTGGACTCTGGTTCCTTATTCATGTGCTTTTTATTTGGATTTGGAAATACGTTTTTGTATGTGTGTAGTCAACTAGCTCAATATATTTGCAAGACAGAAATTCATTGTCAACTTCAAAATTAGCAAATCCAGAGTCTATAACATTGTTAGGATAACTATAAGGTGTATTTGGCATTTGAATAGCATGTGTGGAACTGCCCTTTAAAATGGGGATAGAGCCAGGCAATTTGTAAATGTAAATGTAATGAAAAGTGAATATGGTTGCTTTGCTGCCTTTAATAATTTCCCTTTTTCTATAATTCAATCACTATATAATTCAGCAATACTTTTGGAGGAACTCTGGGGCTGCATGCAAATCAGCTTAGTGAAGTTGTAGAACTATACTAAAGGGTGATCTTTTGTAAACTCCCTGAAGCCTCTTCAAATAAGGCACATCTTTTAAAGGTACTTGCTTAAATATATTTTTCTCATGAAATATTTGTAGGATTCCCTGTCCCCAATAGTTTCTGTTTGTTCTACAGATGTGGCTGTCAACCCTGAAGCTGGCCTGACCGGAGCCATTTTAAGCTTCAGTGTTGCTGCACTGGAGCTGAGGGATAGGGAGGGGGGAATAGAAATAACTGGGGTTTTGTAGCCAAAACAAAATACTTTCTCCTGAGAACCAAGGATATTCCCGCAGTTGGAGTGATGTTACCAGGCACCTTGATTGGACCATGTGACTGATTGTGAAAGGGGAAAAAACTTCTACTTTTAATTAAGGTGAAAATGGCAGGAACATTTAGAGCCGGTTTTCACCAGCCTGGGCCAATATGATATGTCCAATAAAACTATTCTTTGAGATACCCACCTGCCTCGGATTTTTGTTTGCTATGGGGGTATTACTTGAAATCTTGACAAGGGCAAGGTGGGCATGCTTTGGGTCACTTTGTTGAAACAACCTGATAAGACCTAGAAGCATGCCTTCTCTGTAATGGTGCTCTCCCCATACCCATCCCGAGATTTGGATGATCTTGACCCCATTAGTGTTCTGAAAGGCTATGAACACCTAGCTTTACCCCAATCATTGGGGCCTATTTGCTAGTATAGCTGGTGTATGTGTGTGTGTTTATGTATGTGTTTGTGTCTGTGTGTCTGTGTGTGTGTATATGTGTGTGTGTGTGTGTGTTTTATTTGTGCTGATAAATAAATAAAGGGAGACTAGTATAGATGTATTTCATATATATATTTAAATATATATATTTAAAGTCACAACCCCTGGTATGCCCAAATATGGGACGAAGTTCACTGCTTCCATTCTCTGTCCATTGGCTCGCCATAAGAGACCATCCAGACAGAAACCCAATATTTTTACTGTTGCCTTTGTTACTTCGTTATTTATCAGCACAAATACAACATATATATATGTGTGTGTGTGTGTGTGTGTGTGTGTGTGTGTGTGTGTGTGTGTGTGTGTGTGTGTG